GAGGAGCCGATACAAGGGTTTTCTCACAGGGTAGGAGCTTGAAGGAATCAGATATACGAAAGATAACTCCAGCAGCAATTTGGAGAATGAACTAGAGCTGGTGTTGACTGGACTGGCAAAGCAAGCAGTTAGGAAACTATTATAATGGCCTGACTGCAACCACCAAGGCAGTGGTTCCTGCCTTCAGGCAGTGGACCTGAACCAAGGCAAAGATAAATAGGAGTGTATGTGCACGTGGGTATCCATATGTGCAAGAAGAAGAGAGAAGGAAAGAGAAGGAGAGATATTATGTGTATGTGTGTGTGTGTGTGTGTGTGTTGTATATATGTGTGTTGGTTGAAATATTTTTATGAACTAAGATCTTCAGGCCTTGGTGAGGTATTGAGAAGGGGGAAGGAAGAGGAAGAAACTCAGTAATTTCATTGTATGTATAAGCACAATATTTATATCTTATCCCAACCTCACATATTGAGATCCTTGTCAGTTTAGAAGATATGGTTATTTGAGTAACACAATCTCAAGTTTGCTTTTGAAATATCCATGAAAACAGTGGTTACCAAATGCCAGACAATGGGTTTTCCATATTAGAATCCCCTGGGGTCTTCATTAAAAACAGATTCCTGGGAACTTACCACAGATCTAACAAATCACTCTGGGTGGGAGCCCAGGGAATTCATATTTTTAACTATCAGGTCAAATGACTGCTGGGAAGCTGTGATTGAGAACAACCACTTTTAACAACTCAACTATCAGTCAACTTAAAGAAGGATGTACAAATGCTCAGAGGAGTAAATCTCTCATGCAACATTCAAGAATGCATACCAATATTTTCATTATACAAAGAGACAAAAGGCCCTCCGTTTGATACCACTTTTGTGGGGGGCCTCATCTCAAAGTAACTGCATATGCTTTAGAATAGCTTATTGCATTTCTTTCGGCATATTCCTTAATTTAGTCTCTTCAGTAGTTTACCCTCAGCCTAACGTTTTGATAGATATCAATGAGTAACAGGCCAAGCTGAAGCTAAGCAGTCTGCAGAAAATATTCAGATGTAAGTCCTATTTCTTTTTCTCTTTACCTCCCACCCTAGGTGAACTCATCCAGTCCTGTTGCTTAAATAGCATCTATATGCTGATGACTCACAAATTTTTACCTCCATCCTGAATCTCTCATCTATACTTTAGGGTCATATATCCAACTGTCTCCTTGTCATCTCTAGTTGGCGTCTCATACGAATCTCGATTTTAAGAAAGCTGAAAAGTACTGAACTCTTAAATCACTCCACCTAACCTTTTCTTCCCCATCTCCAATCTTCTCAACCTCAGCAAATGGTACCACCATTTACCCAGTGGCTCTAGCCAAAATCCTCAGGGAGATCATTCTTGATCCCTCCTTCTTCCTAACCACCCCCTTCCACGTCAATTTCTAAATCTTGTGAATTTTACCTCCCAAATGTATTCCAAATCTGCCCATGACTCTTCACCTCTAGTTCTATGACCTTGATCTGAGCCACCACCATCTTTTGCTTTAGCTAACAGAAGCTGGGACCATTTCTCTTCCAAGCCACTCTGACCACTGTGGCCAGAGGGCTCTTTAAAAATTACAGCACCTCATGCCCCTGCTTACAACCCCTGAGCGGTGTTCCAGCGCACTCAGAATCACATCTAAACCCCTTTTCAGGGTTTCATTTCTCTTCCTTCTCATCCAGGCCCTATGTCCTTCCATCACTACCCTCCAATCAAATGGACCTTCCTCTAGGTCCTTGAACACACCCAACTGCTCCCCATTGCAGAGCCATCACTCCTGCTCCTCCCAATGTATGCAACTCCTAACCAGGCTAAATTTTCGTCTTCCAGTCTGAGCTAAATCTCTGTCCCAAGAGGTTTGCCCTCTTCATCTAGGCTAAGATTCAGCACACCTTTTCTGTAGGGAGCCAGACAGGAAATATCTTAAGCCACGCAGGCCATGTGGTCTCTATCATGACTACTCAACTGTTTTTGTAGCAAATCATCCATAGGCAATATGCAAATGATATGCCTGACTATGTTTCAATAAAACTTTATTTACAAAAAAAGGGACCAGGCAGATTTGGCCTCTAGGCTGTGGTTTGCTAATTCCTGACCTAAACCAAAGTATTACTCTTCTGCTATTCTTTCTCAGAGCTTCTCATAAGTCCTAAACATGTGCCCACTGCCTGTGTCTCCCACTAGTCTCTTAGCTCCATGAGGACAGAAAGCTCAGGCTCTTATGTATTCCCCATCAAATATATAGTTCCTGGTAGAGCGCTTGCCGCAGTGTGGCCTCAGTAAACACTGGTCGGATAAAGGAAGAAAAGGACAGTTGAGGAAGGAAGGGAGAATTTCTCTTTGAAGCCCAAGTACTTTTTGTAAAAAGGCAGCAGCCATGTCTGGCCTGCACTTTTTAACTCCTTTCCCAACAGAGTTCCTGGGTGAATCACTTATTCATTTATTGCTTTGTTCATTCCATCATTTCTTCAGCAATGCAGTATTTACTAACATCTAAGATGGCAGGCTGAGGGCTCTTCCCAGATCTCTGCTCCCAGAAGCCTTCTTTCTGGTTTTCTGCTGGGAGGCCAGTGCAAGATTCAAGCTTTGTGAAGTGAGATTGAGAGGCCAAAGCAATTAGTAGAAAAGGCCAGCAGGGTCGCCTCTCAACCAGAAGGGAGCCCTGCCCTCTCTGCCCTGACTCATTACCCTAAAACAGCCCTCCCCACAACTCTTCACTGTTTCTCCACTTTGGCAGATGAAAAGCGAATAATTGTGTACCCTGAAAGTTTAGCACCAACACTGCTTTGAAAGAGACGCCACACGAGGGTTGCATGTCCCACTCTTCCCTCCCTCCCCCCCCAATCCCTACGCCCTTCCCCATCTTCCCCATCCTCCTCCAGGCTGACTGGAATGCCAGCAAGGAAGCTGAGAGATGGGCAGTCATTAAAGATTATCAACTATAGAGCTCTTCACCAGGCAGGATTATGTTTAATAGACAGCAAGAGTATTCCTGCTGGCTCCTGTTAAGTTTCATCAAAAGTGTGCCTAATTAAATTCTTCAATTAATTATGCTCTTCTGCATTACAAATTTTGATCAAATTGATTTAATTTGGTGCAGGGAGAGATGTTCCTTCACATGCAAAGTGAACCCGTCTGAGGTTAGGTTCTGTGTCCAGAAGCCTCTTGGGATCCCTCTAATCTGGATTGCCTTTACCCTCCTGCATCCTGGGAATTGGTGAATCGCAGGCGGCTCAGGGAATTGGCAATTGTTGCTCTGCCCACATCTGCAAGAGCTGTCCTGAAGCCACAAAGAAGCTGACAGCTGTCTTCCCCCACCCACCTCCCCCCTCTCAGCCACCCTTTCCTCCTCTGCTTTAAGAAACACCCCCATCTTGGGAAAAATCGCACCCAATCTGTCAGTGAAATATGCTGTGGGACTGAAGTTCTGGCAATCTGTTTCCACTCTGGAGACAAATGTCAGCTTGTTAGTGGCCTTACAGAGAGCTTTAGAGCGTCCTTAGTTCACAGAGCCCCAAAGCAAACAGTGCCCTGATCACCCAGGCCAAGGCATTCTCCCCCTCTTTCCACTTACGGTCAAAAGTCCTGCCAAGACTCAACTTCCCAACCCTTCTTTCTCCTTTCCAGGGTCCTTCACTCCATCCTATAAGGCCCTGAGACCTGATATGCCCCAGGCAGCCCCCTCCACCATATAGCCACTCGGCAGCCAGACCTTCCTGATGGTCTCACCCTCATCAAAACATCCCTATGTGGGGCCCCACTCACTCCCTAGGGCTTCTCCTATTAATTGACTAGCCAATCTGATGATCAAATTTCTTCCCAAACAACAAAAGCAATAACAACAAAAATTTTTTTTTAAAAAAATGCTCCTTACTGCATAAGCCAAAGTGCGAGCTCCCTTCCATGTGGGTGTGCCCGGGGTTAATTTGTCCTATGTGAAGCCACAGACTAAACGCTCCCTGTCATCCTACAGAGTCAGTTTTACTCAGAAATAATTTAAACTCTTATTTGTATACTGCAGAATAAACTAGAAAATTCACACGATGTATTAAGACAGAAGAGGAGACTTGAAAGGTAAGCCTTTTGGGGGCTGCAGCCCCAGGCCTCTTAGGTCTCAGTCAATTACCTCCATCTTGGGCAAAGAAGCATAGCATACATAGTCCTGGTGATGCCTTTCTCACCATGGTTAATGTGCGTCCCCTCACTAGGACCTCTGACACCAGAAGACTTTTACTTAAAGTATGTCCACCCCTCCGGGAAGAATGCCTAAATCTACTTCTGCCGCGTCCTCTCCCTTCAACTCGATTCGGAAATTGTCAACTGCTTGATTGGACATTTTCATTTGCATGGTCTGCCACAGCCTTGAAATGAACTTGCCTACGATTCTAAACCTACCATTTCCTGCCAGTACCATCAAACCTGCTCTCCCTTGTCATTCCCCAGTTTCTCCTAACGGTGCCCCAATTTTCCCAGGCACTGGGCGGGAAGAAACATAGCAGACATTCTCAACATCATCCATCAAATAAGTAAATAAATAAATAGGAGTTGCTTTTAGTGTTGTTATTTCAAAACCATCGCATAACGAATCCTTACTTGTTCTTTAATGGGTAAATAGATTAGATCTTAGCGTTGTTTTTTTTTTTTTAAAGAAATATGCTTTTGGTTAGTGATTCTTTTTGAGCATGCACTCCATAATAGTTTAGAACTAGATGTTTCAACCCAACTTAATAATCCTCTATCCCCTAAGCAAGGCCATTGCCAAGTCCTGTCAGCACACAGTAGGGCTCAACAAATGCTAGGTGTTAATAGAAATAATAATAAATAAAAATATATCATAACATGGTAAAAGATGTCAGTAGATGGTACGCAATTAGCTGCCAAGCGAGCAAGGAGAGAAGGCTAAGAAAGCAGAGAGAGAGCTGAGAGGTCAGGAGAGAGTGGTCCCTCCCACCCTGACAGTGTGGTGAGACATACCATCCAGAGAAATTTAGGAAGGTAGCCAGGAGACTTTGAGGCCTGCTTGTGAGACAGACAAACCAGCTTCCCCAGAGCTTGTGGTTTATGCTTCTTTAGCAAGATGATGCTGACTGGAGAGCAGAATCCAATGGAAGGAGGAGAGTCATGCTAGGGCAATGGCTGGTGTGGCACAAAGCCAGAAGGCCTGAAATGAAAAGTGTAAAAGTCATTACAGAAGAGGCACTCAAGAATTTATGTAGTGAATTAATTATAACAATATCTTAATGGCTAAAACATTTACTGAGAGCTTGCTCTGGGCTGAGCAGCATTTAAGTGTTGTACAGGCATTACTTGTTTAATCCCTGCCATGGTCTGGAAAGGGATCTTTTATTACTCTGATTTGATAGATGTGAAATGAACCTCAGAAAGGTTAAGTAATTTGTGCAAGGTTGCACAGCTAGAAAGTGGTGGAGCTAGGGTCTGAATCCAGAACCTGAGTGTTTCATCCTCAAATTTTTCTTCCTCCTACTTAAATGTCTGCGTTTTTATTTAAATTTCCTCTTTTTTCCTCTGACAATGTTACAACTCCACACTCAGTAAACTCTTTGAAGGCAGAGGTAGGGTCTCAGAGTTCTTCAAATTCTTCTCAATGCCTCACAATGCCTTCTATAGTAAATACTTAATAAATATGATTGATTTATTGATAGAAATATTTGTTAATGGCACAACGTTGAGAAAACCAGGCACTGTAACAAACAGGGGAAAACTTTCTAGAAAGGATCACTCAGTCTTATCTGGTGAAGCCTGTGTACTATCAACAGGCTGTATGCAACAGTCTCTCCTGGCCCACACAGCACTGCTGGTTCTGTTGCCTGGGACCCTCTTTTCTTACCTTCCCCCTTTTCCTGGTTTATTCCCTCCTGTACTATAGACCTCAGCATAGATGCCTCTTCCTCCAGGAAGACTTCCCCGATTCACCCCAAATTTGGATTAGAAGCTCCCACAAAATCTTATACTTTTCCCATCACAACATTTATCCCACTGCATTACAATTATCTAGTTCACTCTTCAGTCTTTCCCAAGTAGATCATAAGCTTGTTGAAAACAGGGTTGTCCTCACTACCTAGCACATGGTATATATTTTTTAATATATATATTCTATATATATACATACACTGAGTATACTATATACTTGTTGAATATATATTTATTGAAATAGTTGTAATGAGAGCTCTCTTATCTCACCCAAATCAAGGTCAATATGCCCCAAATCTTCAAGGCACAGTGGAGGAGCAGTGAACACAAATTTCCCTATTTCACAGTTTTGTCTAAGCCAGGACTCGCATTCTCTCAGGATATACCAAGGAGAAAAAGTGATGGAAAGAAGCTGGAAAGGTAGACAAGTTTACTGACCTCATCTACAAGACAGCCCCAGTTACCCGGGCTTTGTGATTTGGGGCAAGTTCCATACCCTCTCAAAGTTTAGGTGAGGAAGTGGTGAAGCACTCTGCCTCCCTCATGGGATTGTTGTAAAGATTCATTAAAACGTAAAACAGAACAGTGCCTGGCACATAGTATCTGCCCAGTAAGTGTCAGATGCTGTTATAATTTTATAGCATCAACTGGTATTTGAGTGTGAGATTTTCCATTTTTACTCATACGGAGTAACTCTGCCTGGACACTTTAATGTCATTGGTATACTATTATGTAATTAATATACACAAGTAATACTGCCCGTAATACATGCAATTAATTAAATGTTTGGAGATGCAGATGTCTTGGAAACAAAGTCAAATTGATTAAACCCAGCTGGTCTAACTGACCACAAGTGTGGTCTGACTGGCTACATGAAGCAGCCAGGCTTTGGCCAGACCAGAGGATTCATCAAAAGTCTCAGATCCCTGGCTCGGCAATAGTTCTCACTCCTCAGCACCTTTCCAATCCAGTTCACAAAGCTGAAAATTAAAACAAGTTAATAAGAACCATAAAATTTTGATACCAACAAATGTTCTTAAATTTTACTCAGCCATAAAGCTATTTACGACAGGAGAGTAGAAAGTTTCCCTCTAATTTTTTAAGCTGTGAGCAGCAACATGAACAAACAATGTAGACTGTACATTCAAGAACAAAGTTTGGAACTGTGATCAAATACATCAACAACAAAAAGCAAATCTGACATATTTAATGATAAATCTTTTTATTATGCTGTGCAGTAATTAGACAAAATGAGAAGTTCACATAATGGCTGTAATTATTTAGTCATATTACTTTCATGCTGTCAAACCAAACTTTCATGGATTTTCTCTTTCTATTTTGTTAGTTATTCTGCATTTATAAAAAGCCCCTGTGTTGACTATTTTCTCTGCTGCTACTTAAGATTTCAGTGGACTCCTCATTGCACGAAGGCATAATTAGACATAAGCACACACCCACACATTGGAAGACAGAGATCTAGGACCCGAGTCTCCATGTCCTGAGCTCCTGCATGCTTCTCTGGCTCAGGGCAATAGCTCCTGAGACCACCTATTTTCCAGCCTGTGAGGTCCAAACCTTCCCCTGTACTTCTCATTCTCTCCTGAGATAAGAGTTTCTGAATAAGAAGACTGCTATAGTCCCCTTTCCATAGAAGGATCATTAACCTCATTTGATGATGTTAGCTGCTCTAACAAATAGAACCCTAATTACAAATAGATCACAGTTTATTATGTTACATAACGGCTGTAACGTAATACTCGTGTATTTCTGCTCACTTAACAACCCAAGGCAGGTATCCCTGTTTGTCATGAGGCTCTCTTCCACCCAGCGATTTGAGGGCCCAGAACTCCTTCTATCTTGTGGCTTCACTGTTCCCTAAAGCTTTGTCTTCATTGTCTGCACTTATCTAGCAAAAGAGAAGAGCATGGATGAGATCTCGCTATTTCATAAAAACCTTGACCCTAACATTGTACCCACCACTGTCATTAGAACTTGGCCACATAATCACACACCCAATTTCAAGGGAGACTCCGAAATGAGATCAAGTTATTTGCTCAGGAAAAAGAAACAGGTTTTGATGTACAGCTTGCAATCTCCACCCTTCCTGAAATCAGTGTGGAAATGAGGAGGTAGAGTCAGCAAACCAGATGTAGAATTGGGGGGGGTGGGGGGATGAAATGATATAGCAGGGAAAATAAAACAAGAAGCTATATAAAGTTCATTACTGGAGAAACTGGGGAAATATGAATTTTTCCTGTACAATAGTATTATATTAATGCTAAATTTCCCAAGTGTGATAATTATGTTGTGGTTATGGAGGAGAATGACCTTACTCTTAGATGGTGGCTCCCAAAATACTCAGGGGTGAATTACCATCGATGGCTTCAACTTACTCTCAAATGCTCCTCCAGGTGCACATACAGAAAGAGAGGGAGAGGGAGAGAAAGAAGGAGAGGGGGAGGGGGAGAGAGAAGGAGAGAGAGAGGGAGAGCTCAAATGTGCTTAAATGTTAACAATCTGTGATTCCTGATGAAGCCTATTCAAGGAGCAAAGGCCTGTAGGTATGACATAGGCCAGGAAGGACACAGTATGCTGAAGACAGGAAACCGGGCCAGGGTCGCTGGAGTATAAAATGCCCAGCAGTGAGGGCAGGAGATGAGCCCAGAGAAAGGGCAAGATCATGACAGGGTTTGCATAGTGTGAGGCTTGACTTTATCTTGCAGCCAATGAGGACACATTTAAGGGCAGGCAGGGATAGATCTGGTGGGTCTTTTAGGTAGAATGTGCTCAGGGAAGATTTAAGGAGAACAATTCTGGATGAAGTGATGCAGTTTCATTCACTTAACAATTTCAGGTGCCGGCCCTGTGCTAGAGGCTATAGATATGCAGTACCGGGATAGCCACTGGATATGCGGAAGAGCGAAATCAAGACGTGGTTCCTGCCTTCTTGGAGGTTAGGGTCTAGTGAGTGGAGACACACATAAAGTAATAATTGTAAGAACAAGTGTAAAATTACAGCTGTGACAAGAGTTAGGAAGGAGATGTTCGTGATGCCCTAGGAATCTGTGATGGCTGCACTTGGTTTGGTCAGGGAAAGCAGCATCTCCAAGAAACTGGTGTTTGAGATAAGACTCATAGAATGAAAAGGAGTTATTTAGGGAACACTGTATCAGGCAGAGGAAATAGCATGAATAAAGGCTCTTTGGTTGGAAGGAGCATGGCATATTTGACTAAAAGAAAGACCAGAGTGGCTAGGAGGCAGTGAGTGAAAAAAAGTATGCCTGATGAGATTGGAGAGACACACAGTCACCAGTCCTTGTAGTGCCTTGTAAGCCATGTTAATGGATTTTGACCTTTACCCCATGTGCACTGGGAAGCCATTCAGAGCATGTAAGCATGTGAGTGCTGAGGGAGGGATAAGTGACATAATCCTGTAGCTGCACGGTGGAGAATAGGTTATACTATAAATTTCGGCAGACCAGTGAGGAGGGATGATAAGAGATGGAGAAAGGGGATGGAGTCAAGAAATCCTTAGATCACGAAGAAAGTATAATTTTGGTGTTTGGTGTTTGATTGGAAATGCCACAGTTATGGGGTGGAAGCTGACAAAACCAGGTGATGGTGTTATCAAGTGAAAGAGAGAATACTGAAGAGGAAGCTCATGACAACCACAGGGAATTCAGATTGAGACAGGATGTGTTTGGGATGCCAAGTAGAGCTATCCAGCAGAGGATTAGATAAATGTCTGAAATTTAGGAAGTAGTGACTTGGGGGTACTCAACATTTAGATTTAGATTGAGGTGATGTCAATGCCACAAGTACACCATTTTTAAAGTCAGAGAAGACAGAGCCCATTTCAGATATAGGGAATCAAAGTTCAGAGAGAGACAAAAATAACCAGGAGACTAAGGTATAACAAAAAGCTGGGTGTAGGGAGATTCAGATTGTCAAACGTCCAGCATGTCACTCGAAAATAGGAACTGAGGAACATCCAGGACCATGGTGATTAAGAATATCATTGGGCACCTCAATAACAACAGTTTCAGCAGAGTGATGGGGTAGAAGTCAGAAACCAGCTACATTAGAGTATAGGAAAAAAAGACAGTGGGCAGAAATCACTCTTGGGGGTACTTTAGATGACAGAGGTCATAGAGAGATTTGACAGTGGCCATGGGGATTTGGGGTCTGGATTGGAGGCATTTAATTCCATCACTCATTCACCACACTTAT